AGAAAACCCAGGTTTTCAAGTCAAGACTAGAGAAAAAGGAAACATCCCAATTTTCTTTATAAAAAAGATCATTGAAGTATACCAAACCCCAAAAAGAGAGAAAGAAAAATCCAAGATTTAAGAATTAATGATTGTAGTTGGACAAGACTTAGTTCTACCACAATAACACTCTTTACTTTATAACAAATCATTTTCATTGTCATCCGCTTCATTCAAAGGAGTTTTATGACTCATAACTAAATGATCATTTGTATTAGGTAGTTTTTGTTGATCAATTGAACACAAATCTGATCCAGCAGGAAAGACTTGACAAGAGTCTAATGAATAAAGGTCTTCATTTGACATTAGCACATCTTGAGATAATCCGTGATGATCTATTTTTTCATCTTTCAATGTGATTTGAGAAGCTATAAAAGTTGAAGCTGAGCTACAATGGAATGGCTTACAATAACATTCATGATTTGGATTAAGATCTAATGGAGTAGATCTAGATCTAACTTGATGATCATGTACTAAATCATTAGAATGATCATTAAAATCATACAATGAATACCTTCGAAAATTATTAATAGGAGGTAAAGAAGCAGATAAGTAATTTGAATTGGTTTGATTTAATGTAACATAATCTTGATGTATTGATTCAAATTCATGATTCAAACTTGAGCTTCTTAAATGATTGTGATGTGATTAAGAGTTTTTCAAGATGAGTGAAATCAGAGGATGTTGTAAGTTAGGAACCAAAACATGATCTTTTGTTTGAACCAAGGCAGGTTGAGTGATTTGAGTCTTAATTGGCAATGGTGTCTTTAAAGGTATAGTTAAAGGGGAGATTGGACTTTCAGGTGAAACCAAATGTACTGGTGGTGAAGGTGTCTTGATTGATATGAATCCAGAATCTAAGGCCAGGTGGTGAATGGGTGTGAATCCAGGTCGGTGTGAGGGTTCCCAGCCTGTATGTATGGTTTTCTCCAATATATAGCAGAGCAAACCCCCCTGGCCTGGGTGGTGCAGTGATGGCTCCGCTATGGGAAAACCCAGCCCTGGGTTGCGGTGCGCAGCCTCCGCTATACAATGCGGAGGCTATAGCGGATGGCTGAATTGCTGCAAAACCGCTGCAAAACCGCTATCTGCATCGGAGCGGTTCCGGTATTGGCACTGCAAACCAGACTTGTTCAGAGCTTGTTGTTTCTTGCATATGTTTTTTGATATCTTTGCTGCATGTGGGTACCTAGTTATCATAGAGTGTTTTAGATTCAGCTTACATTCTCTGAAAGTAATGAAAATATGTACCTCCTCTTGCAGTGTTCTTCCCCAGACTCTCAAATACATCCACTTTTGCTCCATAGAGCTTGGAGATTGACACTTGTATCCAGATGAGAGCTCAATGCTTTGGTGCTGAATTCATCACCAATTGTAAGTATAAAGATGAGTTCAATCAAACTGGAGTTAGTGCACTTGCAGCGCCAGGAATATGAAGGTATAGTGGGTAGTGTCTAAAAGCGTGTAATGTCGGGCCGGTTAGTACGGCCAAAAAGCTGATTTATCAAAAACTCCATTGGATGAAAAGAACTTTCTCTACTGTAAAAATTGTTAAAAACAACATGTTCAATACAATTTTGGATTCCTATCGATGTGAGGATTCCAAATCTGCCCTTGGCTTAAAAATTGGATCAATTTTGTGGGCTTCATGAACTTTTTTCTCAAAATACCCAATTTCACGTGTTTAGGCACTACCCACCATAGTGATCAATCCCTAGCACTTTGACCAATCCATTGATCTGCTCATCAATGATGAGAACACATGGGTGTTAGATGCTTGCACCTTTTGGAGGCTGTGTGAAGTTGCCTGTCTTTGGCCTCAAGAGCTTTCATCCTCTCTAAAGTTAAAATGCTAAAGTCAACACAGGTAGGTTATATTACAGACACACTGCCACCATATACTCCACAGGTTGAGAAATCCAAGGCATAATTGGAGGCAAATCCTTGGAATGACCTTGTCCAAGTTTTTTATCTGACATATTATTCTGCGCTGAGAATCACCTTGGATAAAAACCTTGGAAAGCTTCTGCCCAAGGCTTGGAATCAAAGAATACCTTGTATTGAAAAGGTAAGTTGCTCAACTCAGCTTCTTGATGCTGATCTTCCAGCTCTATCAGGTGATTGAGACTTTGATTCAACACCTGCAAGTTTTCAACAGCCAAGGCACAAAGTTGGCAATCTCTTTGCCTGTTCCACAATATTTTCAAATATCCTTGTATATACATAGAATTTTTGTGTCAAATTGTGTTCAAATTCTGAACACTCTGGTCATTCAATTTTTTGGCTTGATAAAAAATCCATATTCAACTATCTTGCTAGTCAATGAAACAACATGGGATGAGTATGAATTGATAATAATATCCAAACAGGATCAACTCACAAGAATCACCATAACAAACTACATACATTTGTTTACCCTTGTTGATGGGACACTTTTGCAAAGCCAAAGCACAAAGCCTGTGGGCTGTTCTCAAATATTGCAATGCACTCATCAATGTGGCAAGATTGGACCACATGTGCTCTAACCCTTCTCCATCCAAAAACTTTGAGTTGTTTTTCAATCTGGGATTGTATCTTGATTGGCATGCGCACTGATGAACACAATGAAACATGCTGGTATCAAGCATCAATCTCAGCTCTGCTTTCTTTGTAAAACAAATTGCACTGGTCACCCAAATATTTGGAACACAAAAGTCAGTAGTTGTAATTTATTTCAGACTGACTCAATAACTGACCTTAACAATCCCTTTCTCCATGCTACATCCTACATCATATAGGATTCCAAATCTATGCACTTCTCCATTGTTATCAGTTATTCACAAGATCCAGTCAAGCATTCCCAGATGATAATAGCTGCTACAGTTGCCGCTTGATATAAGCACACATTGAGTAAGCATATTTTGCTATAGGAATCAAATTTTGGTGAAACAAAAATGAAAATATGCAGTACACTCCTTTCAAACTGATGCATCGCGCTTTGTAAGCATCAAATTTGGTGAATTTTAGTGATGCTTATAGCAAGCGGCAACTGTATATGAATGGCTGAGCCTGTATCAAACAGGCTGCCAGTAGCCCCGCCACCACCCCCTTCACAGGTACTGTAATGCTTGTTAAGGCTTGTGACCAGTGAAGGTAGTGGTGAGAGGTTACTGTAGGCTACCTGACTGAACTAGATCCTTGCCCTTGAAATTGCCAACTCATGAAGAACTTCACAATGAATTTTCTGTTCAATACCCTGTGTCACTGATCAAGTCCCAACTTAAGTCCTTTGTGCAGAGGTTTAACATAGCAAGCAAGATTGAGTCTTACCCTCAGGCACCACATCCAATCCAATCCAATCCAATCCATTTGATTAGGAGCATTTGCTCATTTTACATTACATATCAACACACACTATTGGTTTCTCATGTTCTGCTTATTCACCTTAATCATAGCTGATTCGAACTCAAAGCTAGAAAAACAATCTCAAAAGACCATTCATCTACTCAAGGATCATCAGGATTATCATACTAATGATTCAATGATTTTTTGAGACTTCTAGTCCATCAGCACAATGTGCCCAACAAAGTCTTAATGTAGAAACTGTTTTAAATTCCCACATCAGGAAGTTCAAGACTATATTGTGGTGTATCCACTTTAGTGGGAACACCGCCAAGTAATCCAAACCTTGCCAAATGAGCATTGGAAAATTTTCTATTTGCTGACTTTGGGAGGGGTTTTCAAGTGAAATTAGGCTCAGTTGTGTAGAGTAATGTCACAACTGCTTTCAGCTAACTTAACAAAGCCTGTCCTACTTTCATAGGTAACATGTCTAAAACAAGCATTACACTACCTGTGAAAGGGAGGGTAAATAAGCTCACTGTGCTCCAGATTTAACAATGTTGATGAATTTGAGTAGGATGTTGTGATGAGATGTCATTCCCATCAAACCCGTTTCATTGCATCCTTGTCACATCTGACCGCCTCAAATATCATTCACTGTGTATGTTGAGCAGTGCAAGTCATGTGGTGGGCACAAGTTTTGAACTTTACAAAGGCACACCTTTAGTGGGAGGGCTCTGAGGTATCAAATCCCTCCAAAAAGCAAAACTAAAATAAAAAACACTCTCAACAACAACAAAAATAACATGTTCAATAAACCAAAGGGACCATCTCATCAATAGTCCTTAATAAAATCCATTGAAACTATCATCCTCCTAATCCTTGTTCTCAGACCCCTCATCTAAAACAATAGTAACAAGTGAATCTACTTCTACTCAAATATTGAACCACATAAACCAAAAAGTGTACCTATATAACCATTCTCAGTAAAAGTATCATTCTTTTTGTCCTTCTTCCTACTCATCTACATCTTTGCCAGGACTTTGAAATTGAATTTCAAACATTTCAATGCTAAACAAAGAGATTTGATCCATAATCACATGGTAAGATCCAACTCGAGGTGATTCAAGTAAGCCTCTCAGCACCACCACATCTACGGTATTTTACTGATTTGCAGACTCCATCTTTGTTTTCCAGGACAAAACTTGCGCTGAAGAGAGGAAAACAGCTAGTAACACCCCGGTGTCACAGCGCCAAGCAGGACTTGCGGCGAGGTGCCTTCGGTGTTGAAAATTGGCATCAAGACAAATTATATGACCAGGTTCATTGGCGCGCATTCCAGGATCAAGACACTTTGGACAGTTCCCTGCTGAAACCTTCAGAAGTGTTAACCGTAGAGCCGCTGACACCATTTCATATTCCATGCACAGCATCTCTTGGTAGAGATCAACCGCTGCCGAAAGCAGCGGCGTACTCGGGTCCTATTGAATTTGTCAACTTGGACCTTTCTCCGTTGCCAATCATTACAGTCAGAAGGTTGAAGGCCCGGTTCCATAAACTGATATCACACCAATGATAAGTTTCTCGACTACAGGGCATGGAAAAATTTCCTGTTCATATGACTACCTATCGGTATGATTGATGTAGCTCATTAAAGAAGAAATGACTGATTGTTATCAACAGAATGCAAATCAAGTTATGACAAGAGGAAAATCAAAATCATGTATGGCTATGTTCCCAATTAAAATCCTCCTTTCTCTGACCTCTTTTCAACACATGTACTAATGGTTTGTGCGTGTATAGAAAAGTGCTATAATATAAGGAAAGGTTTAACAACTAGGATAATGTTACAATATGTGGTAAGAAGAGAAGAAACGGACATTGGCAATGCCTTCAAAGAGAGAAAGAAATAAAGATGAAGGTCGAAATGAAATCTAATCTACAAGGGTTGAAAAATATTAGGAAAAGCGGGTCAAACAAAAAAGTGAGGGAATGAAAATAAAACAAAAGTATACGTAGGTCAACTTGTCAAGGAAGACATGATACTGTCAGTTACTACTTGTATGTAACAAAAAAACGTCCAAATTATAGCGAGCGTATATTTTGAGAACAAGGGTTGCCTCTCAGGCGACATCGGAGATCAGTTCGTCGGCGAATTGATCAAGAGTATAGACAGCAAGCATTCCATGATCACCTATTCTGGTAGGCGACTCTAATTGAAACCAGCGATTCGAGATAGCTTGTTTGAATCCGATGATCTCGACATCCCAACCTAACTTCAAACATCTTACAACCCATCCCCAAACTGAAGCCAAGCAAATTACGTTAGTGGATAATAATGGGGTGGCACAAAAGAATGATCAACTTACAGCCTGGTTTACTATATTCGCCAGCGTTGGCATCTCCGGAAACAAGTGTGAGGATGGGGCGAGGTCTCGAGTCATGATCTGATCCCTTCCAATCAAATTCCATGATCGTGTCAATCATGTTCAACTGCAAAGTAGAACACAAGAAATTAGTTTATGAATTCGCAGACAATCAAGGTCAATATGATGAAGGCAAACCTGAATGACTTCATCGACAGCCTAGAACAAAATGAAGTGAGAACACATGAGTTGATTTGTCAAAGTCAAGAAGTCAGGTATTAACGCACCTGTTCCTTGTACCGCAGGTGTTTGCTGCTTTTGCCAGCTGGGTATGGAGTGGTGGAAGGGTCTGAATCAGATTCAGTGCAGCTACTTTTATCTGCAGAGTTGGTAGTAGGTCTTGCTGAGCCTCGACGAGGCATTCTACTAGGATTGATTATTTTTCTGGTTGTCGGATTGCGATTGACAACCGGGTCGAGCTGTCAAGACGATGGCAAAAGTAAGGGGGCATTGACCATCAGTAAGCTGTGCCGACATGGGAATATCATGCAAGAATACGACTTACAATAGCAATTTCATACCCTTTCGATTCCCAGTAAGGAATCATATCAGGTTGGTAGAGAGGATTAGAAGCCGCGATATACCGCCTGAGAATCGTTGTGCGTTCGCGCTCAAGGATGCGGAAAAGTACTGCGTAGTCTAGTCTTCGCTTAGGCTTGGCCATACCGCGGTCAAGATGATGAAAACGATCCTGATCGTAGACGTCTAATGAAGGTCGATTGATGTTGAGATGACGAAGGAATGACCAAATCACATTGGAGTGGTCTACAAAGATGAAGGCAGGTCGATAGGATCCGTCTGGAATGGTTGCACACATGCTTTTTAGTTTGCAATCAAGTGACCTTGTTTTCTCGGCGGCAGTAAGGGGTAGAATCAAATCATTTTCTGCCGAAGGTGAAGAATATGTTTGCGTCGTAACTTGCGTTGAGAAAGTGTCCATGATCGAAATGGTCGACATATCGAATGGATTGGTGCATTGTGAACTTAAAGAATGTGGGAAAGGGAGTGTAGCAATCGAGTGCCTGTGCCGGGCAAGAGGTAGAGATTGAAAAAGGGTGGTAGATTGTGTGACAGGACGAGCGACGAACTTTCGAGGGATATCACCATAATAATAAGGAATCGGGGGTTCTGAGGTGAGGGAGGTAACAGGAATTCGAAGCAATTCAGAGGCTGCCTGTGCGGCTGAGCCGCGCTTAAACCTTGGAACAAGACCTGGATCAGCGGCAACGGGAAGCAAAGCTTTCGCGCATGGCTGAGGGCAAAATGCATCAACTGCACCAGTATGGAGGTGACCATGAGTAAGGGGTACGCCTGAGGCCCCATTTGTAGTAGATGCATGGCGGCGGGGGCCTTGCGAAGGAGGAACTGACTTCCGCCTCTTGGACTTCGACGAACGAGACTTGTGTTTTTGGGATGAAGGCACGATAGGAGCAGGATCGACTTGCGTAGGCTGATGGCGTTGGGTCCGGTCCTCCGGTTGAGTGTTAGCTCGAACATGAAGTCTTTTGGTCTTCAAAGTGCATTTCGTATGTGTAGGAGATGACTGAATTGCAGCACTGGGGTCTGACTTGGACGACGGAGACGAAGGTGGTGACTGTGAACATAGCTCACGCGCGCGTGACTGCCAGTAATTTTTTTGAGATGAGAGGTATCGAATAGCTTCCGAGAAGTCGCCGAGCTGAACTCCGGATGCGTTGGATTGCTCAACAGAGGGAGACTTGGGAGTTGAAGAATTGAACTCTGTAACAACAGGCGCAATGGTGACAAGTGGTAGTAGGCTGACAGCTTCAGAGGTAGACTTTAAGGAATGACTTGAAATCTTAGGAGAATGCTGTTGGCGACGATGATCACCATAGACATTCGGCGATGCAAGGGACGGTGGGAGAGGACCAATGGAATGTAACAGTTTGTAAGCCTGTTCAGGAAGCTGATCGAGATGTGGCTGCGAGGTCCGAGTAGCTTTTGGATAAGTGAGCTTGGTTATAGTTGGGCTGGATGGCACATGATTCAAGTAAATGATAGGGTGTTTGTGGTCAGGAGGAGTTGCTGAAACAATGTGCTGGCCATCAACTTCAAGAGAGTAATGCTGAGAATGATTGTCAGATGACGTAGCCGTTTTAATGTTGAAGTCGAATAGATCAGGTTCGAGTGTAAGCCGAGGTGACTGAGGATGATTGGTCGGAGTTTGAGCGTTTGAAGTGGGATCGCTCTTGGAATCGTATCGAATCTTCATGGTCGTAAAAGGAATCATTAACTGGTCTTTGTAACATTTCAAAGTGGGAGATGGTGTGGGCGGAAAGGAAGGTGGTGAATCGGATGACTGAGAAGGAGAACCAGAGCTGGAATGAGTCAAAGTTGAGTTCGAAGAGTGATACCGACGATGAGTTGTGGTAGTAGTAGTAGTGATTGCTCTGGATCTTTTTGGTGTTGTTGTTGAAGAGGAAGATGGAGGAGCATCGAATGGGATCGCTACTGGTCCGGCCATTTCGTATTCTGAGTGAGATTGATAGTTGAAGATAGATTACGTTGAGTGATTATATGCACTGTTATTCAGGGCTTAAGGTTCGGCGATGTTGAGTTTTAGCACAACAGGGAGTGTTTTGGATCGTAAATAGGATTTGATTCAAGCGTCAAGAGTATGTGATGAGATAAGGTCACCGATTATCAGTCGATCTGAGCTTGAACTTCAACTTTCAACTAGACTAGTCCCGAACTCCAATTGTGACTTGATGGATACTCTGACAAGGTATTTTGAAGATAACGCTGAAGAAGTTTGAATATAGATGACCAAGTTATGATAGAAAGAAATATCGAATTTAAACAATTCCAATAGATAAGTTGATATAAATATGTTAAGATGAAGATTGAAATAGGTTAGAGAGGCTTTTGAGAGAAGAGAGGAAATGGTTGTTGTGAATCGAATGGTTGGTTGAAGAGTCCTGCACGTTATAAAATCAGGAAAATAGCTGAGTGAACGAAATGAAAATGGTAAACAAGAGAAGTAGATTCTATTGGAAATCAGAATGAGAAAAGTAAAGAACCTGATTTGGCAAACAAGTCAAGATCGATTTAAAATCAAGCGCCATAGAACTCAAATTCCGTTACAGGGCTTTTGGACCCACACACACACACACACAGCATTGGCCACCCATCCATAACCCCGTCCAGTTAAAAGCTCAAGTTGATTTTAATTTTGTCATCGTCTGGTCCACCAAACATATCCACACAGTTATCTACACCAAACTCGTGGTCCAAACAACCGATTCGTTTAAACATCTTGCAGTCTCAACTACAAACCTTTCACACCGTAGCGGAGGTTAGCATTTCGACAATCAACGACATCATCACTTGCTCGGCTATCATTCTGATCGGGGTTCATACACAGGCTTCTTGCTCTCGATTCATGTCATTCAATTTCTCCCCTATCAGACATCCAGCCTTTGAGTGAACCTCGAGCTTTCAGAACGAGCAATATAGAATGAGACTATGAGGTCCGCACCCGGGTCGGGTAATAAGACGGGATGGCCGAGTGGTTAAGGCGGCAGTTTAGAACCGTGCCTTGTCCGGACCTGATTTAGCTGCTTCACTTTGTGAGCGTGAGTTCAAATCTCACTTCCGTCGTTTTTTCGCACCCACACCCGTGCGCATCTTTTTTATAAAGGTGGACAGAAAATATCTCCGGGTGTTGAATATCGGAAATTTTGGCCCCAGCTAGTTTAGCAAGGAGAAAACTTTGACCTGTCGAGTTTCCTAAAATCTAGATCACATGACTAGGTTGGTCAACAGGACACGGGTTATCCCATGTGTGCTTGAGTTCAGGCAAAATCCATTTTTCACTTACAATCCTTTTCCTCGCATCGACACTTGAATACTTACATCATTCATTCGCTGGGAAGAATTCTCGGTTGCGTATGCAGTCTGTGACTTTGTGTAACACATGCCCCCCAAGTGTTTGATAGCCTGCGGTTACAAAAGCACTTAAACCAATGCAATAAAAAAATGCCCCCCCTAACCCTCCGACTCGGGTGACATGCAATTTCACCTAGGGAGCCCTACGATAGCGTGCATACCAGCTCAATTGTCGATCAGCAGAATGTATGCAACAAGTACACCCTTCTCTATAGCCTGTGAGCGCTTGTTTGGCTACCTTATATGTGGTTTAAAAGAAGAAGACTAAAATGTCTCAAGATGATCACCATCCATCTCGTGATGCCATCAGGCAAAGTATGATGTCATGAGATGGAGAATACTTGGTTGAATAGCTGCAATGACTCAAGGATCTAGCCTTGAAATCAGTTATTCAAACCCTTACCATAGTTATACTGGTGGTTATACTGATATCCAATACATTGAAAGAAAAACTGGAAGTCATACCATATATTCTGGAATATTGAATCAGCAGTAAATCAGCTTTTTATCTTCAATGAAGGAAAAGAGGAACAAAAGAAGTTGACTGAAAGATGACTTTATCAAGAAATTGTGATCTGTTGAGAAAACACAAAAAATCCTTGATAGGGATCCATAAAACCAGTAATTGATCAAAATAGAAAAGTTCTGCTGAGATTGATTGCTTTTTGATATCATTCATCAGTTACCCCAAAGAGTAGGACCCAAGGCCAAAGTATTCATTTTTTCTTGCAAAGTTGGGTCTTATGCCTGATTGATCTTGAGATGTGAGGAGCTCTATCATGCACACAACACAGCCTCACCTGTCTGGCTTTCAGCTACAGTTCTGACCAAGCTCCTAGGACAATCTGGATTGAGGTTCCAGTTGATCATTATCTCCTTGCCTTGGAGGGGGTTTGGGGGGGTTGGTTCATGACTTGGTAAGTTGTCCAAGGCTCCACTCAATGGTCCTGCCTGAGTCATATGTATGTAATAAACAAAGTCCAAATTTTGTTGGGTTTTTGAGCACTTACAATTGTCCATGGAGGATTCCCCACTTCTACATATTGTTACTATCACAATCTATCACAACCATGTGATGATCAAACCCACTAAATGTCTTGTGCCAAATTTACAAATCCAAGCTTGTTCAAATGATCCTGGTGGATAAAGTTGATGAGGTGAAATAACCTGACAGCCAAAAAAATGAGCACCTGTAAATATTTCAAGCCTCAACAGTAAGCAAATGTACACAGCACTGTCTGCTCCAACATCTTCCAGTTTTTCAGTACAATCAATCAATAACTGCTCAATCTGGGTGATATCCATTTGATTTCCAATTCAAAAACATTCTCAAGGTGCCAGGACACACTGGCCTGCCAGTGATGTGTGATTGGGGGCTGTGAATGTCGTGGTTTTGGCTTTATGTCAGAAGGCCAGCAAACCATATAACTTCCCTGATTTTGTGGTCAGATATCTCTTCCAATATAAGTTTATTGATCTTGAGATAATCGGCACAGGTCCAACAGCATCTCAATTTGAAAATAGCAACCCCACATCAAAAATCAAGCCCAAGCCTTTCAAGGAAGCCACATAGTGGTCAGCCCGTTGGTGGACACACTTAGTTTGGCCAACGCTGGAACTGCTCCACTCTGCTCTTGATTTTGACACCTACCAGTATAGTATATTTGCACCCTTGTTAGAGTGGCATAAAGAACCCGCTCCACAAGTGCTATGTAGCGGAAATATTGTGCTCAATCACAAAGGCAACAAAAAAGAAAACATGTATAATAGTTAATTCTTGTTTATAGGATTGAATGTACTGTGTAAAGTAGATATTTTGGGTAAACTATGGGAACTACTTAATACCTTAGGGCCCGTTCGGCCGGATTTTGAAAAAATTGTTACACAAAAACGATTTTTCGATCTGCCCCTTTTTCAAGGGGCAGATTGAAAAACTCAAAATTTGGCTTTTCCGTTTACTGAACAGTCAACCAAATTGGTCAACAAAAAATTGAAATGGAGGGGCAAATGAGCCCAAAAACTGTTTTTGGTCTTAAAAACAGCCCTGATGCTGTTTTTCAAAAGTGAAGATTTTTTGATCAAATACCGTATTTGGGTATGGATCAAATACGATTTCCGAACGCCGGTGTTTTTGGCAAAAGCCAAATACGTTTTTGACCCAAATATCGTATTTGGCTTTGGTGGGGTATTTGGCCAAATACAATATTTGGAACCCAGCCGAACGGGCCCTTAGATTTTTAAAATGAGAGTCTAGCTTTTTTTCTTGCTCAGTCCTGCTATATAACATTCAAGGGCCTTTGCAGCATCCTCAGACATTCTATCAGGTGCAATACCTTCTTTCATCCAAGCTTGATATCCTACCAGGAGCTCCATTGTCATTGGAAGCATAATAGACCTCTAAAAGGTGTACACACATTGGCAGCCACTGAAAAAATAGTCTCACAAGCACATGACATGGCTGAGGTGGCCAGGTAATTGCAGGCAAGCTTGAATAGTGTGGGGAAGTGTTGTGTGTGTTCCTCTGCAAAAAGGATAAGAAAACATATGACAATTGGTAGCCCCACACATAAAAAACAATTGGACAAAACTTCCACCAACCAAGAGGAGTTTGATCATTTTTTATTGGGATGTGTCCTTGCAGGTGTTCATCCAGACCAGACTTATCCAAAGTCTTGGTACCTTTGTTTTTAACTCCAAATATTTTGTATTCATTGGCAGCAATATCATTTTGATTGCCAGGTGGAGGGCTTGTGTTGTGTACCTCAGATTCTTCCAACTTAGTGTTGAAAGCTCTCTCAATTTCTGAAAGGGTATAAAGCTTGTGTTTGGGGTAGTGAACCATAAATAACTTGGTTCAGAATCATGGGTTGAGGATAGTCGCCAAGACTATAGCCTCTCTACTCACTGCCTCTCCCTGTACTTGGTATGCCACTCAATCATGATGTTGATTGGGTTGTTGAGGCTTGAAAATTCAACAGCTTCCGCTTGATGGGTTTTGATCTTGGAGATGACATGTTTATACTCTGCCAGTAAGACACTGTAAGGTTTCAGAACCTTCACTAGACACGGGAGACGGGACGCTGTGAATCACAGCAAGGTTTCTAGAACCCAAGAGACCTGATCTGTAAATTTCAAATACCAATGAGAACACAGCTGGTTCCGAAGGATAAGGGGCGGGAGATCAGTCCCGATATCTCTAAGCTGTACAAAGTAATAGATGAAAACAAGAATAGAATGAACTGTGACATTACCTGGTTCCAAAGGATAAGGGGCGGGAGATCAGTCCCGATATCTCTAAGGAACCAGAACTGAGAATTGAATTGAAACAAGGTATATATATGAAACTTAATTGTTAAGGTCTAAGTGTTAATTGTTAGTGTTTTGGTTATGTGTATTTGTGTAATGACCGTAGGTCTTACAGACACACCCAGTAGGGCCATTGCCCTCAACTCAAGCAGAGTGTCAACAAAGCTCTAATGTGAATGTCAATATATCAATTTTAAAAGGGGAGGATAATAAAGAGAAACTTACCCTAAAGACCTTGTTGACCATTTCAACTGTATCCCATTCCTGTGGTGAGATAGCAATACCCTTCAGATATGCCTTCCAATCTGCCACAATCATTGAGTTGATGACCTGCATAATGAAGAAGATATAAGAAGGAGATTGGACAAAATGAAAGGACAGGAATTAGAATGAAAGAAATACAATATACCTCTTGAGCCACCAAAACTATCTGACGGCTTTTGTAATGGCTGGTCCACTGTGTTTTATAAGGTTGTTTAATCATGCAACCCTTGTATCTCAAACAAGTGGAGCAGGCCTTGAAATCACTGTGATGTGTGGCACTACTTGAAATTTGGCCTGATATTGTATTCAACTGTATGAAAAACTTGAAAGCATTGACAATTTTACATGAAAAGAGAAAGCAGATTGAAAAGATAAGAGTTATCGCTCACCTTGGGAAGGGTCAATGCAACCACATCTTATGGTAAGTCTTCATCTTTTTCTTCAGTGTCTGTGTCTTTGAGGCTGACATCAATACTTTCATCCTCTTCATCCACACCATCAGGCTGGTC